AGCGGTGTATGTTCCGCAATAGATTTTCCCGAACACTATGTGCCTTTTAACAAACGACCAACGAAGAACAAGCCGCAGAGAGAGACCCCATCTCGGCTGGAGCAGGTCTTTGCAAAGCATCATATACCTTCGGTCATGGTCAGGTCCCTTTGACCTGTCGTCCTCAGAATACATTTATTCACTTGCACTCACCTTTTTATACTGCATAGAAAGTTTTGGGACGTTACGGAGATGTCGTCGAATTTTGGAGCAACCTTATTTGAATTAGGATTAATTGGATTAATCTCATTGTTTGTGCAGTCAATTAAACGTATTTAATTTTAGAGTTTATTAAAAATTATTCCCAATAATACTCTAAACTACATATTTGTTCGTTACTAAAACAGAAAGCTAAAAGCGCATTAAAATACCTGCGCTCATGGGTCGTATAAATGAGCTCACAATAAATGTGTCCTTATAAATCTCAAGGTCATCGCGCTCACATCCGTAAAGTACTGCCGAAGACAGTCTGATATCTTGTTACGTTATCGAATATCAGCTGGTAAATCGCGCAGTTCTTCATATCATTAGTAGTACTTGAAAGCCAATCACCGTTGCCAATATGCATGCAAATGTGCATACTGGTCAGTTGTCGTGTCAATCAAAAGAAACTAGAGTTATCCGCCATCAGTTTTCAAATGAGGCCGGTGAAAGTCTTTCATTTATGAGAAAAGCTAAAGTATGCAATATTAACTCTCGCAATAAAATTCTTAGTACATTGGGTCATTTTTGGTAACTGGCAGTGCCCATTTTGAAAGGGCTGATATCGTTCGACAGAAGCTGGAGGCTGCTCGGGTGTGTTGTATTGTAATCTTATATGATGAGTCTCTAGCATTCTTCAAATCGCTTTTACATGAGTCATTATGGCGTTTTTTGCCTGCGCATGCCTATCATTAAGACAAAACTTGGTGACTTTGTTGATTGTTACTCTTCGATGATGTTTTAATCTACGAGAAGTCTCATATTGCATAAGCCTGTTGAAAGCAGCTTTATTTCTTTGGTTTTTCATCGATACTTTTGTCCTCCATTGCAGGTGGTAACGCTCAAAAAATGTCAGCTTATTCTGTGGAATCCCTGTAGATGCTTTTTTGTTAGGTTTTGTACTGGTACTGAGGGGTGTTTCAGCTTTCCCTTTATTTTTTAGATCTTTTGACCCACGAAAGCTCCTGTTTGCTTTTTGACACGTTTATTTTTCACCT